ACATTTCTGTGGTTTTCTGGCTTCAGAATCCAGACTTTGTTTGAAGGACACGAGTTTAATCTCCTGACCGCCTGCAACAACCAGGCCCCCAACGCAAGAGTGAACAGTTAACGCCACATGGACGTGCAGATCATGTCGATATCGAGTCCGTTGGTCCAGACCACATCTGTAGAACGTCCAGACTAGGTCGTTGCACATTGGGTCTGTTTTGCTAAATCCTCCAAATGTGCAAAACAATCAAATTCTAAGTAAAATACACAATTTCTTGCCACAAGATCCTGGCATGCAACGACAAAAGTCTTGACAGACTCGTCTATAGTTACGTAAACAGATGTAAATGAATTAAAAACCACCCTTCTGTACACGGACAGTGCCGGTCAGTGATGCTTCTTCTGTCACCTGTTTGCTGCTACATCAGTCTTATCCTTATTTTTTGGTCGCAGAAGAGCCCCGCCTCTAATTTCAGGTGTTTTTTTCATGTAATTCCAGTTTATTTTCGCCCCCTCGTGCATAAAGCCGACCTTTCTGAAGGTTTCTATATTAAACCCTATTTATTAAATAAACTAAAAGTTGTCAGGACCCTCTTGAGGAAATGCCCGACCACTATCATTGTAAACGTGATGTTGGCTGCAAAGGCTTGTGCGAGTGGGCAACAGTGAGGAGGGCGGGGCTTAGCGGGGACGATTGTTAATTATGTTTTAAGACATTTCACAATGACTTGGTCCTATAGTATATAAACAAGTGTTGAAAGTTTTGCGGTATTTTTAGTTGCACTTTAGTCTTAATGCGCCTCAATGACTTCACGCAGCTCATCGGCCTTTCTGCACCTTCTGACTGACAGAAGAGGCGTATTCCTGATGCAAAAAGGGATCCTCTGACTACATTCAGAGGAAATTTGTTTGCAATAAAAAAAAAACGTTCTAAATACCAGTAACTCGATCCAAAAATGAAGCCAGAGAATCGTGTGAGGAAACTGACAATGCTTCGTCGGGAATGCTGTGCACAATTTGCTGTCAACATCCGAACCCCGGCACTAACTCTGGGCTAAGAAGAAGCAGGCCAACCATTCAAACAGAGCCTGATGAATCCAGGTACGAAGGAACGATCTCATCCGAGCCGAGGAAAGCAACGTCACTGAGAAGTTTAATATTTCTACGCATGTTGAACTACAGGACTAGCAAGAACTGCGCTGCTCTGGGTGGCTGCATGTTGGAGTAGCTCTGTTGACTATATGTAAGTTTTGCCTTTTCTTGGACATTTTTTCTTCTAGTTTCTCAAGAAAAACAATTTTTTTGGACACTTTACTTTTCTGTTTCTGGTGCTGTGAAGCTTGGAGGATTTTTACTGCTATTTTTTAGCTTTTTTCACTTTTTGAGCATTTGTTATGATGCGTAACCATGGCAACGAGCTGGTTTACAGTCGGGAGCAGCTGATTAACACTGAAAAGGCTGAAATAATACAGGGTATATACAGCAATCCTTAAGTAAAATTTACTACTTTTTAATACCTTTTTTTACTACCTTCAGAAATTTTTTAAAACCATCACAACACTAAATTGCAAGTGTTAATCAGCGACCTATTTACACATATTTTAACATGTATAACATACAAAAAGAATAGACTTAGAGACTCACTGATGTTGACAACGTATTGCACATATTTATTTTACTTAGAAAATAAGCCAGGCACTTCTGTTCAGCGGTTCAGACAGTTGACCACGAGGCCTGAAATGATGCAGAACGACCACTGAATATGACGTCATCATTATGTGACCGGATATGCTAAAGTAGAGCTGCTCGATTAAGGCAAAAACAATAATCACGATTATTGTGACTGAAATGGAGATCTTGATTATTTAAGACGATTTTTCAATTTATGTAGATTTTTTATTTTATTTTTTTATTCAGTCATAAAATTGCTCAGGGCTAGAGCTGTGGCGACGCATCGATGACGTCGACGGCTCGATTCTAAAAATTTGTCGACGTCAGATCCGGTAGTCAACGCACCGCGCCCACTTGTTGCATCCCCAGGAGTTTGTAAATGGAGGAGGAATCTGCCTGTTTTTCCTCTAGTTCGCCCTCTTCTCCACCTTCACTAACATCTCCGCCAAATACCGAAGATACGGAACAATGTCCGTCTGCTGCTAGATTCCTTTCCCGTTTTGCCCGCCTTCGTCTCCCGGCAACGGACAACAACTTCCGTCGTCAGATGCGCTGCTTTGTCTCTACCGCAGATGTAGAAAATCACTGGGAGCGTTTCTCCCTTCATAAAGGAGCTTCTTTCATACATTAGGGGAGCTGTTTTGGTGGTAGCAGTCTCTCCTCCATGCTGGTCTGTTTGCTGCTGGGTATTTTTGGTTTATTTAAACTTGGTAACTTGAATTTAACGTTGGTAAAGCTACTGTTAGCATTTTCGCTAACAGCTTCTTGCGTTTGGATAAGCGGTTACGTTTTGGTTTAGAGTTCATCTTTTTTGTGGTGCAGATCTCCCTTTTATTACATTTAGAGTGTTGTGGGTTTTCGGTTTAGTGTAAAATATCACCTTAAGTTTGGTTTAACCGCCCAGTTTAGAGTTTGGACCTTTGGAGATCCTTATTTTGGTCCAGAACCCAGTAATCTTTGCCCAGTGGGACATCCCAGGTTATTTGTACTTTTGTTTTAATTTCCCACAAGCAGAATTAGTTTTATTATTCCCAACCTGTGGATGGAAATATTTATGTTTTTTTGTAGTTGTGAATAAACCTGATCATCATTTCAACTTTTAAATCCCGTTATTGTCCCTTCCTTTTTGCACACAAGCCAAACTCCCCAGGAAGGATCGTAACACCACTCGCCTCACGCACATAAGTGACCAAAGCAAAGCAGCATGGAGACACTCCGTCTCCAACCACGTCTCAGGCAGCAGCCTGCACTCCCAACCTCTACAGTCACCAGAACATAACCAACCACAACACAATAAAAGCAGTGTTATACAGAATGGAAGGCCTGTAGTGTTTATTCTCTTACAGTAACAATTTATCAATTTTTTGGAAGAATTTATTTGAGATTTTTTGGGTTTTATTAATTGTGCAATAGAAAAATAATCGCTAGATTAATCTTCTAAATAGTCATTAGAATAGTCGACTATTCGATAAAATAATCGTCAGAATAATCGTTTTAAAAATAATTGTTTACCCCCAGCCCTACTCAGGGCACAATCAGGGCAAAAATAAACAAGAAACAAGATGATCACTAAAATAACTCCTGATTCCCAGTATAAAAAGACCAATATACTTATAGCTCATAGTTTATGACCCAAGGGCTATAGACCTTGATTTAACTCATTTAAGTCTAACCAGTACAGACCCAAATACCAATATCTTGCAAATACTGACAACATGAATTACACAGTGGCATTTATAACAAATAAATGCAAATAAATTGATGTTCACAAAATGTTGCATAACATTTATTGAGTCATGTCAAGGTGCTGTAGGAGCATGCACCAGCACCGTGTCCTCAGAGAGATTAGTTATTAGTTATTAGCGTGAGGAACTTATTTCTACCTTATTTATAAACTATTTATTTACAAGTCCATCAGTTAATGTAATAATTGTCTCAAACACAGCTGCACCCCCCACCCCCCAACCCGGTCTCACAGCAATCAGGGGCAAGCTGCACGTGTGTTTAGCGCGCCGCACACGCACATTTAGCCGTTTATAGTGGCTCAGGAGTCCGCAGGTACGGTGTGTGTGTCACTCACTCTGGTTACTCTAACAGGGAGCCGGCTCTGAGAGCTGTTTCGGTAGCGACCGACACATCACTACATCATTCCCTTTCCTAATGTCCTGAAGAATGGTCCGGAGCGCAGGCGGAGTGTTTAGCTAACCTGCAGGAAATGTCGACGACAGCTATCCAGAAAGTAGCTAAGGGTTACCAGAGATGTTTCTGAGGTGTTCGCTAGGTACTTTTAAGTTAAAAAGTCAAGAAGGGGGTCTGAAAAGCTGCTAGAAATAGCGTCAAAGTCGCTAAGTTGGCAACACTGTGGGAGGAGCGCTTCATTTGCAACTCAGGGCAGCACAAGCGGGAGGAGCAAATAATCTGTTTTGTTTTTATAATCGTTCAAAACATTTCATTCGGAATATATTTCTATGTTGATGTTCATAATACGACACCTGATAGTCTGAAAAAAATAATACCTAATTTGGAAAAAATAATACCTCTGAGACCAAATTTAACACTTTTAATGGCCTTAAATTTGACTATTTTTATTTATCACTTTTTAATACTTTTTAAAACCCCGCGGACACCCTGTAATACCTCAACTGAAGCCACAAATCCCAAATGAGCTAAAACGCAAGAAGCGTGGGTGCAGAGCGGGAGCAAAACGGAGACAGAGAAAAAGGAAATTCAAACCATCTCTTCCATCGATCATAATGGGCAACGTGAGATCACTGGCCAACAAGATGGAGGAACTCCAAGCCCTTTCAAGGACTCAGCCAGAGTGTCGGCAGTTTCGGAACCGCTGGAGGAGATGATGCAAAGAAGGATTCTCCAGAGAATCAAGAAAATGATGGACAACCCTGAGCATTCTCTTCACAAGACTGTCCGACAACGGAAGAGTGTCTTCAGTCAGAGGCTTCTTCAGTTTGGCTGCAACACTGACCGCTACTGGAGATCCTTCCTGCCAACAGCCATTGTAATATACAACAACTCTTTGATGACTTGATTATTATTATTATTCTGAGCTACTACAGCAATCAGTTTCCCTCTGGGATCAATAAAGAATATTTGAATTGAATTGAACTGAACTGAATTAAAAAAGGTCACTTACCCAATCCCGGTCCCGGTCGGTCAGGTTTCGCGGATGCTCAGAAACAAAACAGTTTGATTCCAAGTGATCCGTTTAGAGACTCAACAACCTGCAGGAAACTTAGTTAAGATAGAAACAAAACCCAACAACATCTAAATGATGAACTGAAACAGCAAAAGACGTCAAATCACTGTAAAAAGTATACAAGCTGTGGGGCCAATGGACCAAATCTTTATTATTTTAAAGATAAACATTCAGATGGTTCGTCACCAACTCTAACTGACACATACAGCTCTTGCTAAGAGACACTTGTAGACAAAACTGTGACACAAGGCAGGAAAACGCATTTTACTGAAAGCTAAAGCTAAACGGTACCCTAGCATGTCAGGTAAGACAATTTAACAGGTAAGAACAGAGAAACAGGAAGTTAGAGACCATTTAACACCAAAAGCAATGTAAAAGTTAAACAAAGATCCTGAATTCAGCTCAGTAATCCGTCTAAGCATCATTCAGACGCTGTTCACTGTGAGAACGAACACGTTTACAACCCATCTGGGTCGCGCTTTCAGCTCCTTTCTGGGTCTAAAATGGACTTTTTTAAACTTTGGTTGAATCAACCTGCCTGGACAAAAAAAGTGACCTTTCCCCACAAATGTGTGTGTCGTTTTCATGTCCAAGAACACACACACACACACACACACGCACGCACGCACGCACACACACACACACACACACACACACACACACACACACACACACAAGGATTTAAAGACAGGTAGGAAAGTGTATCAGAGCTTCCCATTGGCGAAGGCTGCTTCCTGGAACTGAGGGATGAAGCTCTTGAAGTACGCCCTGCATAAAGAACAGGACATCTTCAGGCTCAGTAATGTGAAGCTGAACGTTTTTTCGTAAACTCGATTAAATCAAAAACACGTCTGAGTTTTATTCACGAGTCAGGTTAGACGTACTTCGCCCGTTTGGCCATCTCGTTGCCGTCCCAGCGCGGGCTGTAGGGATACGACGTCTGCACCTGAGCATACAGCTGGCCGCTGCTGGTGAAGTGGTAAACTGACTGGAAGGTGAGGGTAGGCTGGTCTCTGGGGAAGTACAGCGGGAGATCCACTAGTAACGAGATGACAGACGGAGAAAAGGGTCAAAACCAATGTAAACAAGTGAGAAACCGAAATCTGAGCTGCTTTATACCATGCACCAGGAAGCAAAAGTCTTTCCACATGAGTAGAAGAGTGAGCTTTGTGAATCCCTCTGCGTCGTATTCCACCACCCCCCTGTAACACACACACACACACACACACACAGATCACCTTTATGCTTCATATTCACTACTAAGACCTGAAATAGACCAGAATAATCGTCTCACATCCCAAAGTGGCTGAGAAAAGCAGCGATGTACTCTCTCCTCTTGTGGTAGCCTTGGATCACATACTGCACCTGGACAGGACAAAAACAATAACATTTATTAATACATTCAACGTTCTAGAAATAACATCTGGACTGGATTCCAGAGAAGGCCTGCAGCTGATGGGTTCAGGAAAACTGATTCATGATGTTTTTAGTGCGGAGCTGAGCCCAGTCTTGCAGCCGGAGCTGCAGAAGCATTTCCTATCAGGAGACGAGTTAACGTCTGTTTCCTTTGAGTAGGAGTGAGACAAAACATTAAAAAATGCTAGATACGGACATTTGGGCAGCAGTAGCTCAGGTGGTAGAGCGGGTTGACTCATGATCGGAGGGTCATGGGTGCGATACCAGCTCCCGCCAGGGGTATCCTACCGTTGTGTCCTTGGTCAGAGGGGCCGACGGCGCCAAATGGCAGCCTCGCCTCTGTCAGACCTCCCCAGGGCGGCTGTGGCTACAAGTAGCTTACCATCACTAGCAGTGTGTGAGTGTTAGTGTGTGTGAAAGCGTCTTTGGGTGTCTAGAAAAGCGCTATATAAGTTCAATGCATTATTATTATTATTATTATTATTTATTCTTGTATGATCATGAATAAATAATCCACAAACATCATCAGCACTTGATGCCAAACCTGTAAAAAATTCTGTTAAAGCGAACATAATGTAGAAGTTTGGGCCTGAAACTAAACAAGTGCCACCTAGTGGCTGGCTGCAGTTTAGTTTAAGCCCCGCCCCCGGCATCTAATCCCAGACTAAAGAACAGATTAGAGCCCACGACATTTAAAAAAAGTTTCAGCAGGAAAAAGAAAGTGTTGTTTTTCTTTGAGTAGACATTAGTTTACAGAGCAGATTCACTTTATATTTACGTTCTGAGGGTCTGACGATCCAAAATACCAGTTTTTGGATTCATAATTAAGTTTTCCCAAACCTTTGATTAATCAACAACACAATAAAAAAAACCAAAGTTTTTCGTGCACCCATGAACCTTCTACACATAGAAAATACTTAGATGTGCGATAGCGGTATTGGACTCGTCGTAATTCACCGTTTTGCACCGATCCGACAGGTGAACGCTGTTGACATTAACAGTGTTTATTGTTTATTGTGTTTCAGGAAGGTGCTGACCATGTTTAGACATGTGACAGTGACACAGCCCATAGTGGGGGTGATGAAGTAAAGTAGCGAAGCGATGTAGGCGGTGTGGTCACTTTTACACGATGTTGAAGGCGTAGCTCATGGCGGCGGTGTGTCGATGAAATCCGCTCCTTTAATCCCTTCATGCTACTTATTTTCACCAAGAAAAACTAGGATCATTATTGAGTAATTTTAATGACTTTTCCCACACAAGCTCCCATCTTACATTGTTAAGCTGAAGCTAATGGAATCCTGCCAGATTAGGAGATTGACCGGGCTGGCTACAAAAAGCTTCTTCCATATTTGTATAACTCCAGGAATGTGGCACCAGATTACATTTCCCGTAGGATTGGAATATTCCTTTAAAGAAGCCACATTTTCACAGTTTCTGTAACAAAATGGTTTCAAGAAAGGAAGCAAAGTTTGTAAAAACTTCACAACCAAACTAAACTTTTCTATTCTAAAACAAAGTAGAGGACACATTTAAATTTGATATTTATTTAAATGTCCAATAGAAGAAAAAATAAAACAAGGTTTTAAATATTATTGATATTTATAGTATTGATTTAAACAACGATTTCATGTGACTAATATAGAATCTAATGATGACATCTGGTTCACTTTTACGATCCATCGTTAACATTTCTGATTATTCCTCAATTTCATGTAAATTATGGCCTTTTTCTGAAAGAAGAGCGTCATCTCTAACACACACACACACACACACACACACACACACACACACACACACACACACACGAACATACCCCCTCCTGCACCTATACTAACACGCACGCACACACACACACACACACACACACACACATGAACATACCCCCTCCTGCACCTATACTAACACGCACGCACACACACACACACACACACACACACACACACACACATGAACATACCCCCTCCTGCACCTATACTAACACACACACACACACACACACACACACACACACGCACGAACATACCCCCTCCTGCACCTATACTAACACGCACGCACACACACACACACACACACACACACACACACACACACACACACACACACACACACACACACACACACACACAAACATACCCCCTCCTGCACCTATACTAACACGCACGCGCACACACACACACACACACACACACACACACACACACACACACATACCCCCTCCTGCACCTATACTAACACACACACACACACACACACACACACACACACACACACACACACACACACACACACACACACACACACACACACACACACACACACACACACACACAAACATACCCCCTCCTGCACCTATACTAACACGCACGCGCACACACACACACACACACACACACACACACACACACACACACATACCCCCTCCTGCACCTATACTAACACACACACACACACACACACACACACACACACACACACACACACACACACACACACACACACACACACACACACACACACACACACACACACACACACACACACACACACACACACACACACAAAAACAGCCATTGTGACTCGAGCTTCTGCTCATTTTTTGTTCTCATGGATTGGCGGAGGAGAGGCAAGGCCACTTGAGCTATTTATTTAATTACGCTGTGTGTGTGAGTGTTTTAAAGAAACTATGCATCGCTGAAACTTCACACCCACACCAAGAATGGACTTCCTGTTCCTGCTGGTCACATGCCAAGTGCTCCTATTGGCTGCCTGGAGCTTTAAATTAAGCAAACAGGTGATCTTGTTCTGCAGGTATTCAAACCTGCCCGCACCCATGACTCCTCACTCATACACCTATCAATATGTGTGTGTGTGTGTGTGTGTGTGTGTGTGTGTGTGTGTGTGTGTGTGTGTGTGTGTGCTTGCAGCATGATGCAACAGCGCCAGCAGAGCTGACTGCTGTGTGATTAAAGATCTCCGTCACATTCACACCGCCCCCGGCTCTAATATCATGAAGTGTGACTGATCTGTTTGATTTTATAAAAATGGACGGTGTTGTCTGAGCACATCTATTTACTGCGAGCAGAGAAAAATGCAGATCAAAATCAACATGCAGCTACGGCTACACATCAGAGCATTTATGTATGTCCCAAGTTACTACCAAGGCTGAAAAAAAACTTTATCCACCCTTAAAAATGAGCGGTTTATTACTTATTTATTACTTTTTTCCTGATATATTTCATGTTGGAAGTCTGATTTCTCCTGCTCTGCTTTAACTGTATTAAATTATAATTATTATTTATAATCTCTTTTGTTTAAATCATGACACAAAAGTAATAATGTCATTTACAAAAGAACAAAACACACACTCGTGAACATTTAACAAACAAGTCATAATATGTGCAGTAAGTGCCGCACATCACTGTTATCATTAACTTGTTTAATCCCCCAGATTCACTGTAGATTATTGCTTTATTCTTGCAGAGATTAGTAAATATTTAGGCTTTTTTCTTAAGAGTCAACTTGAGCTAAACCTGTAGAAATGTAGCTTTTTGCTCTTTAAACAAAATCCTAGTTAGAAGCCATCCTATGAGCATAATTGGGTTATTTTTTCACAGAAGAGGGAGCGGTTCGGACTGGAAAAACCAGAAGCGTGGAAGGTATTAAGGGGTAGTCTTTTTCAATGCTCGTCAGACCGTGAGTGCAGAAGGAAATGGAGGACTTCTGTATGTGAAGGATGGCACTGATGGGGCAGGGTGGGGGCGTTGTGCCTCACAGGAAACAGCCTTACACCAGATCCACGCTGCACGTCTACTTGTCAACCTGCGGAGGCCAAAGAGCACTCAGACAGCCCATGGAGGCTGGCCAGTACGCCCACGCTGCACAGGACCCACACGCGCACGCACGCACGCGTTTGCTGTGAAGCGACACCTGAAAAGCAGCCTCACCAAAGCATGTACATGAAATCTAATCTGTCGTTGTCGAACACAAACATCAACAGCCTTTTACCTTGTTGGTGAGCAACTGACACACTTGGGGAACGTAATCAATTAGGCATCCTCCGCTGGGAAACGCTGGGATGTGAAGCGCTGAAGAGCCTCCCAGAGCGCTGATAGGAAAGAAAGAAAGACAACTGTAAGCCTGGAAATTCTCATTAGATCTTACAGTATAGAACATAACGTATGATCAAACTGCATCTATTTTGAATTATTCACATGGCTGCAGGTGAAACGTAAGATCCTGCACGGCGTAAATGTTACAACCCCCTACAAGGAGCCCACTAGCAGTGTGCACCTGAAAGTGAGGAATTAAAGAAATGATTTCAAAGATTGAGTCGTGCCCGTGGCAACCTCTTTAATCTCCTTCAGTTATTATTTTGACGTCTCTCTGATTTAATCCCGCTGCACAGCTCCATTAGTGATTAGCGCATGCTTATTTAATCAGGAGATCTGCTGCTGCAGCTCCCGAGTGACTAACCAACCAGCGGAGTCACTCCCTCGGGTTGCTCTCTTTTTTTTGTGATCTGAGACAAAACAGAGGGAATACCCTGGGGAAGGGTTAAAGGTCTTAGGAAACGGCTTTAATGCTGCAAATGCTCATTTAAAGACACATGGAGGGGTGGGAGGCTCTCTTCCAACGCATTCTATTTTTATTCCCCTCTCCATTCTGGCAGAACAGTCACAGGATGTTTAGAAATGATGTTCTGTCTTTTGAAAATCGATGCTGAGGTAATTGTTTGGAGGGCAGTGCATGAATTTATATGATGCATAAACATCCTCCTTTATCGTAGAAACGTAAAACCAAACGTAGACGAGTCAAACACTTGGAGCGACTCATCCCTGAAAGCACAAGAGAGATTTTTGTTAAGTTTTTTCCTGAATGAACATAAAACCGATCAGCAACCAGCCGACTGATCAAAGACCCGGAGTGGGGTTAGCTCATCGTCACATGGTCTGAGTGACCTCGCAGGACGGTCTGAAACAGAGCACGCTTTGCATTTTGTATCTGCTGATTTGTCTCATTTATGCTTAATCTTTTATATTTCTATCATATGTTTCAGTTTCTATAATCCGTTTGGTTCCATTTCCAAAAATAGAATTTTTATGAACATTTAGAATTTAAAATCTCATTTTGCACTTTAAAATATTCCTGAAGCGTTGCCAAGATACAGGAAGTATAAAATACTTGGGCTGCATGGTGCCAAGACACAGGAAGTATAAAATACTTGGGCTGCATGGTGCCAAGACACAGGAAGTATAAAATACTTGGGCTGCATGGTGCCAATATACAGGAAGTATAAAATACTTGAGCTGCATGGTGCCAAGACACAGGAAGTATAAAATACTTGAGCTGCATGGTGCCAAGATACAGGAAGTATAAAATATTTGGGCTGCATGGTGCCAAGATACAGGAAGTATAAAATACTTGAGCTGCATGGTGCCAAGACACAGGAAGTATAAAATACTTGAGCTGCATGGTGCCAAGATACAGGAAGTATAAAATATTTGGGCTGCATGGTGCCAAGATACAGGAAGTATAAAATATTTGGGCTGCATGGTGCCAAGATACAGGAAGTATAAAATACTTGAGCTGCATGGTGCCAAGACACAGGAAGTATAAAATATTTGGGCTGCATGGTGCCAAGATACAGGAAGTATAAAATACTTGGGCTGCATGGTGCCAAGACACAGGAAGTATAAAATATTTGAGCTGCATGGTGCCAAGATACAGGAAGTATAAAATACTTGAGCTGCATGGTGCCAAGACACAGGAAGTATAAAATACTTGAGCTGCATGGTGCCAAGATACAGGAAGTATAAAATACTTGAGCTGCATGGTGCCAAGACACAGGAAGTATAAAATACTTGAGCTGCATGGTGCCAAGACACAGGAAGTATAAAATACTTGAGCTGCATGGTGCCAAGATACAGGAAGTATAAAATATTTGGGCTGCATGGTGCCAAGATACAGGAAGTATAAAATATTTGGGCTGCATGGTGCCAAGATACAGGAAGTATAAAATACTTGAGCTGCATGGTGCCAAGACACAGGAAGTATAAAATATTTGGGCTGCATGGTGCCAAGATACAGGAAGTATAAAATACTTGGGCTGCATGGTGCCAAGACACAGGAAGTATAAAATATTTGAGCTGCATGGTGCCAAGATACAGGAAGTATAAAATACTTGAGCTGCATGGTGCCAAGACACAGGAAGTATAAAATACTTGAGCTGCATGGTGCCAAGATACAGGAAGTATAAAATACTTGAGCTGCATGGTGCCAAGACACAGGAAGTATAAAATATTTGGGCTGCATGGTGCCAATACACAGGAAGTATAAAATATTTGGGCTGCATGGTGCCAAGATACAGGAAGTATAAAATACTTGGGCTGCATGGTGCCAAGATACAGGAAGTATAAAATATTTGGGCTGCATGGTGCCAAGATACATGAAGTATAAAATATTTGGGCTGCATGGTGCCAAGATACAGGAAGTATAAAATACTTGAGCTGCATGGTGCCAAGACACAGCAAGTATAAAATACTTGGGCTGTATGGTGCCAAGATACAGGAAGTATAAAATACTTGAGCTGCATGGTGCCAAGACACAGGAAGTATAAAATATTTGGGCTGCATGGTGCCAAGACACAGGAAGTATAAAATACTTGAGCTGCATGGTGCCAAGATACAGGAAGTATAAAATATTTGGGCTGCATGGTGCCAAGACACAGGAAGTATAAAATATTTGAGCTGCATGGTGCCAAGACACAGGAAGTATAAAATACTTGGGCTGCATGGTGCCAAGACACAGGAAGTATAAAATATTTGGGCTGCATGGTGCCAAGATACAGGAAGTATAAAATATTTGGGCTGCATGGTGCCAAGATACAGGAAGTATAAAATACTTGGGCTGCATGGTGCCAAGACACAGGAAGCATAAAATACTTGGGCTGCATGGTGCCAAGACACAGGAAGTATAAAATATTTGGGCTGCATGGTGCCAAGACACAGGAAGTATAAAATACTTGGGCTGCATGGTGCCAAGACACAGGAAGTATAAAATATTTGGGCTGCATGGTGCCAAGACACAGGAAGTATAAAATACTTGGGCTGCATGGTGCCAAGACACAGGAAGCATAAAATACTTGGGCTGCATGGTGCCAAGACACAGGAAGTATAAAATATTTGGGCTGCATGGTGCCAAGATACAGGAAGTATAAAATACTTGGGCTGCATGGTGCCAAGATACAGGAAGTATAAAATACTTGGGCTGCATGGTGCCAAGACACTGGAAGTATAAAATACTTGGGCTGCATGGTGCCAAGATACAGGAAGTATAAAATACTTGGGCTGCATGGTGCAAAGATACAGGAAGTATAAAATACTTGGGCTGCATGGTGCCAAGACACAGGAGGTATAAAATACTTGGGCTGCATGGTGCAAAGATACAGGAAGTATAAAATACTTGGGCTGCATGGTGCAAAGATACAGGAAGTATAAAATACTTGGACTGCATGGTGCCAAGACACAGGAAGTATAAAATACTTGGGCTGCATGGTGCCAAGATACAGGAAGTATAAAATACTTGGGCTGCATGGTGCCAAGACACAGGAAGTATAAAATACTTGGGCTGCATAGTGCCAAGATACAGGAAGTATAAAATACTTGGGCTGCATGGTGCCAAGATACAGGAAGTATAAAATACTTGGGCTGGATTGTGCCAAGACACAGGGAGTATAAAATACTTGGGCTGGATGGTGCCAAGACACAGAGAGTATAAAATACTTGGGCTGCATGGTGCCAAGACACAGGAAGTATAAAATACTTGGGCTGCATGGTGCCAAGACACAGGAAGTATAAAATACTTGGGCTGCATGGTGCCAAGACACAGGAAGTATAAAATACTTGGGCTGCATGGTGCCAAGACACAGGAAGTATAAAATACTTGGGCTGCATGGTGCCAAGACAAAGGAAGTATAAAATACTTGGGCTGCATGGTGCCAAGACACAGGAAGTATAAAATACTTGGGCTGCATGGTGCCAAGACACAGGAAGTATAAAATACTTGGGCTGCATGGTGCCAAGACACAGGAAGTATAAAATACTTGGGCTGCATGGTGCCAAGACACAGGAAGTATAAAATACTTGGGCTGCATGGTGCCAAGATACAGGAAGTATAAAATACTTGGGCTGCATGGTGCCAAGATACAGGGAGTATAAAATACTTGGGCTGCATGGTGCCAAGACACAGGAAGTATAAAATACTTGGGCTGCATGGTGCCAAGACACAGGAAGTATAAAATACTTGGGCTGCATGGTGCCAAGACACAGGAAGTATAAAATACTTGGGCTGCATGGTGCCAAGACACAGGAAGTATAAAATACTTGGGCTGCATGGTGCCAAGACACAGGAAGTATAAAATACTTGGGCTGCATGGTGCCAAGACACAGGAAGTATAAAATACTTGGGCTGCATGGTGCCAAGACACAGGAAGTATAAAATACTTGGGCTGCATGGTGCCAAGATACAGGGAGTATAAAATACTTGGGCTGCATGGTGCCAAGACACAGGAAGTATAAAATACTTGGGCTGCATGGTGCCAAGACACAGGAAGTATACAATACTTGGCCTGCATGGTGCCAAGACACAGGAAGTATAAAATATTTGGGCTGCATGGTGCCAAGATACAGGAAGTATAAAATACTTGGGCTGCATGGTGCCAAGATACATGAAGTATAAAATACTTGGGCTGCATGGTGCCAAGACACAGGAAGTATAAAATATTTGGGCTGCATGGTGCCAAGACACAGGAAGTATAAAGCCCCATTCCCATCTGTACCGGGTCGGCCCGGGCCGGGTAGCGTAGGTTGTTTACATATCTGGGTGGCCTGGAATTTTCCCGGGCCAACCAAGGCTCATTCTCAGCCCTCTTCCCGAGGGGTACTGCTTCAGGCCGACCAGGGCCAACACACCCACTGCTGACAGCAAATTCACACCTTCCATTAGAGCAAGCCTCTGATTGGTGGGTAGAATCAGCCCATTCACACCTTCCATTAGAGCAAGCCTCTGATTGGTGGGTAGAATCAGCCCACATGGGCTTAAGACAAG